GTTTCAGACTCACCCACCTCATCCCATATTATCTAAAGAAAACAATAGACAAAAAAGAACAAAGTCAATCACTGATGAAAACACACTTAAGTATAAGGTACTATCCTTGAAATGCTGCTAACTTGTACCATACCTGAAGTTCATACAAAAGAGACCCACATGTAGTTTCTGCTTGTGAACGAGGATCATTGTGAATGTCACCCATATTAATAGATATCTATAACCACCAAATGTATTAACCTGGAGAAGGGTTATTGAGAGAGATAAGCAAAAACAGAAACAAATTAAGTTAAAAAAAAAGGACTGCACTTTGATATTGAACCAAAACTAAAGTCTAATATGGTGCACCTAGGTGCAAAATGCACGAGCACCACTATATAGCGATGCATACACTACACAATGCAAACAAACCGACAATAACTACACCGAATTCCTTCAGAGAAATTACATAGAATTAATTTTGACTCAATAAGCTTTGATTACTAAACTGTGCTATGAAGAGCTCTAATTTGACCTAACGATCCACTAATTTCGCACCACGACACCACAAACAATAAAGAAAAATACAAATAAGTTTTACAATAATATAAACCTGTACCCATGAAAGGAATATAAGCCAGTTAATGTACACATCAAGCTGCTCAAACAATGGCATTAATGACATAATCTATGAACTACCATGTACAATTAATTAGCTAAAGGGTTTTATCAATTGTAATCAATAATCATTTATTAATTGTACGGAGTAACTTTCATCATCAGCAAAACCCAAAATCAAACATACAAAAAACAACAATCCAATGAAAAATGCAAAGCAACAAATTTATTAATCAACGAATTTACAATAAGCAAACCCTAATTTCGGCATTGAAAATTGCAAATTAGGCAAGTTATCAAATTCGGATCAAACATCTGTAAATCAAATTGCATAAACATTCGATTAAGACACTCACATTTGCCAAATTATAAACAAAAGTTAACCAAAATCAAAAATGAAAAAAAACCCAATTAATGGAAAACAACAGGTAGAATTAGGGCTTAGGAGGGTCAAATTTAGGTGGATGAATAATTAATGGTCAGTCAATTATAAGTTAGGTAGAAAAACAAGCTAAAAATAGTAAATTTAGAAGTAAATATAGACCGACAGAAAGCTAATAAATCGGGAGGAGAGAGAAATTGTAAGAACACTAACCTTGAACAAAGAAACAGATTAAGGAAAAATGTCGGCAAATTATGAAATTTAGGAGAGAGAAAATGAGATTGAGAAGAATGAAGATGATGATGCAGAAGTAATGAGGTATGGGGTGAGGGAGACAAGGATTATGAAGAAATTCGACCGTTACCAGAGGAGGTAGGAGCGCTGAATAATTAATATGAAAATGGGAGAGATTTTCTATTTGTTTATTTTTCATAAGTGTATTTTTTTTTTTTTAAGGATTTTTAAGTATTATTGTACAATGCCTAAAAATAAGGAGATGAGGAAATTGTGGAGAGTGTTAAGAAGTTGAGGAGGTTGATATTGTAATGGAGTTGCTTAGACTAGGTAAAGGGCGGCCGGGCGGGGCTAGAATAGCGTGTGTGTATGATTTGATTGTGGGTTTTTAATATGTTGATTTAATTTGATTCTTAGGTTGCATATATAATTTGAGAGAATAGCCAAGTCACAAGTATTTGCATATTACAATTAGGTTTTACATTTATCTTGATTTATATATGTAAGATCATTAAGTAAAGAAAATGAGTCTAATATCATTATTTTATACTCCGATTTATACTATTTCTATTGTATAATTTTATCAAAAATAATAATAATAAAAAAAAAAAACTTATTATCATATTTCATTTCTATCTATTTTATTATGATTTTAACATATATATACTTTATTCTACTTCAATCTATACCACTTTTATTATCTTATTTTTCTTGTCTCATAATAACATTTTTTGCGCTTGTCCTTTCTTACTTTATCCACCTTTTTCTTATATCTGCTCGTGACGAGCTTTATAGTTTTCAATCTTATGCTAATAGAAATATACCAAGGATTCTCAAATTACTGAATTAGATCATTCAACAATATACCACTACACCTTTGGCTTTCCCAATTGATTATCAAGTTACTCAAACTTCATATTAGAAGCAACGGAAAAATCCCCAATAGGAAGTTTGGTTATAAATTTGAATCTATAAAAACATGTTAAGCACACAATATTTAACAATTAATTTTCACAATGAGAACAATGAATGATCACAGACAGGTTAATGAACTGTCTCATGAAAGAATACTACAAAAACTAGAAGGCAGAATTTTGGTTGCCTTCAAACTCTCGCCTGATGAGTTCAAGCATAAGCTCATTCCATGTATCAACAGGACCAGGCATACACCAATGCAAGCAATCTTGTGGAGGTGGACGCCCATTCGGATCCCTCTTTGTGATCTTATTCGGGTCAAGGCTCCGGTATGGACCTGGATGACCATCATGACGATACTTGAAAGCTTCTGTAATATCCATCAACTTCAATTTTGATTCATTAGTCCGTTTCTTAACAGCCTGGTGGAAGCCTGCAGTCTGTTTATCGTGCATGATATTCGTGTACTCGTGCTCCACCACTTGACCGGGAAATAAAGGTCTATCTTTACCTGTACACGATCCACCAGTGTTCCATGCACCATTCTCATAGTGATCAGGCGAATAAGACGTGACTATTGTTAGTCCCGAGTAGTTGGAATGAGTAGCCAGAGCAGTCAAGCTAGTCTCAGTAGATATTTCATATGCTTCAGTGCTGGTTATGTTCATTGCCAGATTTTCTGGTGAGTTCCACAATTGTGTTCCAACAATCTCGTTGTTTAACAAATAGACTGATCGCTTAGGAAACCAGTGGCCGTTGGAAAAGACTACAACATCAGATTTTGGTGTGAGTTCCATGAAGGTTTCATCAGGAACATCGAGGTGGATCTTCGTGATTCCATCTGGAACATAGCTGAAAGGTTCTGTTGTATGATGTACAAGCCATGCAGACCAAAAACGAATTATTGTTACAGAGTTTGATTTAAAAAACCAGCGCTGCATACGACGGTTCCCTCGATTTCGTGGAACTTCAACCTAACAACCATAAAGAATATATTTTGTTCAGTCTTGGCAATACAAGAATGCAAGTGAAACAACTAAGTGTCAAAGAATACTCTGGAATTACCTGCCAAAGTATGCACAAAAGAGACTCCATCTGGTTGCGAGCAACAGAGTCGCCGACAAAAGTTATGGTTTTTCCACTCATCAGCTCCAAAAATTTGGTTGCGTTAAATCTTGGGAGTTCACACTGTGATGGTTTCCATCTCCAGTTCTCGTACTCTTTGTCCGGCCTCCCATTTCCTTGGCAATTTTGATTCTGACTAAGGATAGGACATGTATTGTTTGTGTACAAAGGCCCTTCAGGGTCATAGTACCATTGCCCATCGTACAGGTCACAATCTACAAGTTTGACAATGAAAAAAGGAATTTATATTCATACTAAATTGAAATTTGATCTGATACCATCTTGACTTCTGTATAATACAGCAACTTGCATTCATAAACAACTACAGAAATTATGATCAAGTGAACAGAGAAGTAGGAAAACTACACATAAACAAGCAATCACAATCGCAAACAATTGCAATCAAGAATCACAATTTAGAGACATTCATAAGTTTGTAACCAAACTAACCCGACCCAAACCCATACAAGCCGGTTTAGCAGTTTTGGCCATTATTATCTAGCCAGAAATGTGTTTTATACAAATAGAAATAATCACCTGCTCAGTCTAACCAAATTCTAAAGGGCTTGAGAAGCTGTTTTGGCCTAATGCATAGACCTTCTATTAGCTCGGCCCTGCCCATGATCAACTTGCAGTATACAATACGTGCAAGTTGAAAGCGAGGAAGTTGAAGAAAATCATGTAAGCTGAAAAGTCAACATAGATTGGCTATTGATGCACTCAAACTCCTTTGGAAACCAAATGTAATGTATATGAAATCTGACTGCTTGTGCTGGGATACTCAGTAACATACCTGTCCTCAGGAGCAATTTGATTATATAATGCAATTAAAGATGATCTAAGTAGAAAGCTTATGTTCTTCCAGTCACTCATCGATAAAAACAATTTGTTGGACAATACTTAAAACAAATAACACACAACGTACAAATTCCAAAATAATGCTGTTATTAAGCATCCTTTTCTTTGAACTATTTAAACATGCTTCACAAATAGGTTAGCTGATTTACAGATTAAAAAAAAAAAATAGTGGCTTGAACCAAATTTAAGGAAAACACAAGCATAAGCAGATAAGGCTCACATCAAGGCAAGTTACAAAGCCTACCTGAACTATCTGAGCCTTCACTGCTTTCAGTTTGATTCCGAACAGGTTCAGTTTCTCCTGTAGACGCATCCACCTCCAATTCCATCTCTACTTCTGACTCATCATCATGGTCAGGTTTGGCTACATGCCCACCTTCCTGGGAAACAACAGAATCTGAATCTTCTGCAAGATTAGCCCCATAAATATAGTTTGTAGGGACCAACCTGTTGGGCCGTGACAATATGAACCAAGAATCCCAGGTTACAAATATTGTAAGTAGCACACCTAAAATTGCAATCGAAGAGGCTACTCTTCGATAGTTAGAGGACCTAGAATAGTCTCTAGAATAAGCCGAAGTCATAGCTACAAACTTGTGTTTTCTGAACTAGACCAACCATTAATACTTCACTTCTTCAACTAATATAACAATAAGCACCCTGCCTTCTTTCTTAGCACATGGAAATTATGCTTCCATTCAATTATGCCAAAATTGCGTCGGCTTGTGCTAATCCGGACAGCTAAATATGGCAACTAGACAAAGAAAAATCGATGCTGATTGATAGCGAATATGTGAACAGCTTGGATTAAATAAATACCAGTAATATGTATCACGCAGCCTAATGACATAAGAAAGACATTAATAATAGAATAACGACATAATAATAATTAAATAAGTTAAAATTATAGTGTAGAACCCAAAACATCTACAAGAAGCTTTCTGGCGTATTCCATCCACAACCAGGTTAAAATAAAACCTGATTCAATGGCAAAAATTTATCTGCTATTTTCCGTTAAATCAGACCCCTCAAACAAGAAACACCTACAGTGTAAATTTCTGCTTCGACAATAAATACTTTACAAGTATTTGTAACAATGATAAGATAGCAAAGTATCAGAGGCTACCTAGCTATTGATAAATATATATCGTCAGTTAGACGGTAGGGTTTTGGTTACCCTCAAACTCTCGTCTTATAACTTCAAGCACAAGCTCATTCCAGGTATCAACTGGGCCTGGCATACACCAATGGAGGCAATCTTGCGGTGGTGGCTTTCCATCTGGGCCTCGCTTTGTGATTTTATTCGGGTCAGGGCTCCTATATGGGCCTGGATGACCATCATGCCGATATGAGAAGGGTTCAGTGATGTCCAACAGCTTCAATTTCGAACGGTTTGTCTGCTTTTTAACAGCCTCATAAAATCCATTCACTTGTTTCTCGTGCATGATATTCGTGAAGTCGTTTTTCACCAACTGACCCGGCAATATGGGCCTCACTTTTCCTGTACATGATCCACCAGTGTTCCACGCACCGCCCTCGTAATGATCAGGTGAGTAAGCCCGAAGAATGGTCAGTCCAGTAAAATTAGGATGTGTAGCCATGGCAGTCAAGCTTGTCTCAACAGAAATTCCAAATGCGTCAACATTATTAATATTCAGCGGCTGCTGCTTCTTTGGTGGGGACCACAACTGGGTTCCAACCATCTGGTTATTCAACATGTAGACTGATTGCTTTGCAAACCAATGACCAGAAGAAAGTACAACCACATCAAAGTTTGGGATATTTTGCATGAAAACTTCATCTGGGACATCAAGGTGCAGTTTGGCAACTCCTGATGGAAGATCACCAGAAGCTTCAGATGTTTGATGGACAAGCCATGAAGACCAAATGCGAACTATCATAACTGACTTTGATTTGAAAAACCACCGTTGCATATGACGGTTTCCTCGATTCTTTGGAGTTTCAACCTAAAACAACAATGAAATAAAGAGCTAAGCATAACTGAACCACGATACCTAACATATTATGAAATAAAGAGACTCACAGTTTTCAAAATTCTCACTAATAAAGCTGGTTAAAACTAGCAGATCCAACCCAGATTGTTTAATTAGGCTCTTTTCCACTAGACCTGTTCCAATTTTACTGGATTTTGGCAGAGGCCGAACTGGGCAAACTCTGGTTTAGACTGGTTTGAGTGGACCAATTTTTTTCGCAACAGCTAAGCCCATGATCAGCTCTAACCTAGTACAGAAAATCCTAATAAAAAGAATAACTGGTTGATAGGGGAAAAATAAAAAAAAATATAAAAAAACGAAGTATAAGGAAATCTTAGGTGTTACACTTATAAATTCATAAGTTTAAGGGATTCAGTAATGCAATATCTTTTTGACAAACAATATACTACATCCTTACTCTTGCCTATCACCAAACAAATTAAGGGGAACAAAAAAAAGGACAGTAGGAATGTTTAGGGAGGAATAGAAACTACATGAACATATGCTATTTACCTGCCACAATAGGCACATAAGAGATTCCATCTGGTTTCTTGCAACTGAATCGCCAACAAAAGCCAGAGTTTTCCCCTTCATCAACTCTAAAAATTTGGTTGCATTAAATCTTGGAAGCTCACACTGTGCTGGCTTCCATCTCCAGCTCTCATATTCCTTGTCAGGCCTCCCATTACCTTGACAATTTTGCATTTGAGTGATAACAGGGCATGAATTGTTTGTGTAAAGAGGCCCAGCGGAATCATAGAACCATTCACCATGATACAAATCACACTCTGAAGAGAATTTCAAAGAAAATTCAATTAAAAAATCAGAAAGCTGGCCAAAACAGTATTCAAGTGAATTATAATGCTAGCATGTATATAGTATTATTGATAGAATCAGATTACAATGCTTCAAGTCAGAAACTCAAAGCACATGTTGGTAGGTTAAACCAATACTTACAATCTCCATTTGCAAACTAGCCAGTAGCCAACTCCAAAGGGATAGTTTCTAATTTTCTACAGTATATGCTTCAGTGCACATAACTCAACAAAGAACAACAGAATAATTTATTTTTAAATTACAAACTCATTTTGCACGTATCAGGATCCACTGCGTTCCAGATGCTTCCTTCTATACTGACCAATTCAATTTTTTCTAGTTCATTCAATGCATCTGATGATAGAAACTAAAGCATAAACTCTTAATTGACAGGACAAGGACTTCAAGATTCAAAGAATAAATGTACTAAAGATGTAGCACAACAAATTTAGAACGTTGGTGAAAAATAGGGTTATGACTCTTATGAGATGATGTGATGAATATATCACTTTCATTAGTTTCTTTTCATGTATCAACAGCAGATTGAACATCCTATATTTGCCAGTCTCTCAAGCCAATGTTAAAAAGTGTCAAGATTCAAGAAGTAATTAAAAGACCTCACAAAAGCATGAAAATGAATGCATTAATTATAATCATAGAAAGGAATTTAATTCAGAAAAATCAAAAAAAATTAAAAAGGCATCAGCAAGCTAAGTACTACAAGCAGCATGGAAAAACACAGTAGATCCGCAACCAAAGAGCATTAATAGTGAAAGAAAAATTAAACCAACAGTGACTCAGGGCACAAAGGCTAACCTGAATCAACTGATTCTTTGCTATCAGTATTGCCAGGTGAAGTCTCTGATTTAAGCAAATCAGCTGAGGCATCATTGATCAATTCATCTTTCGGCGAATCTCTATCATCCATAGGTAGAGGGTTGTTGGTAGCTTTTTCCCTAGGAATTTCCATAGGTTGAGTGTTATTAGTAGCTTGCTCTACAGGAATTTCAGTAGGTAAAGTGTTATTAGTAGCTTGTTCCCTGGGCATAGTATCATCACCAGAAGGCACCTCTTTCTGGCTACCTTCAGCATTTTGATTTTGACTGCCTTCAACATTTTTATTTTGGATATCTTCAACACGTTGATCTTTGCTGATTTCAGCATTTTGATTTTGATTATCTTCACCAGGTTGATTTTTGCTACCTCCATCATTTTGTTTTTGATTTTGATCTTTTTCAGTTGTACCCTCAGACTTAGCCAAATCTATGTCACTAAAATCTGTCTTGTCCTCACCGCGAACTTGACTCCCATTTAAACCTCCCAATGATACAGACAGACCCAAATCACTCGTCTGATCAACCCCATAAAAATAGCTCCGAACAACAGTCCCAACTGGGAATGACAACAAGATCCAAGAAGCCAATGTAATGAATACAGCCAGTAACCCAACTGAGATTATTATAGACGACAATGCGCGTGGATAATTAGATGCCGAACCATAGTCTTTGTGTGAAGCTAAAGCCATTCCTGCTATCTAGTATCTTCTCTACACTAAATCAACCATTTACAGATTGCACCAAAAATGAAACTTTCAATAATAATTGCAATTGCCAATTTTTGCAATAACACCCTATTAGAGCACAAATATAAAGCTCTAGATAGGGTTTCAATCAACCCACCAAAATCAATATAAATACCCAAATAATAGCAGAACATCACCTTCAACCACTTGTGAAGAACATTAAATCAATATTTTCCTGCAAATTAGACAGCCCAATATTCAATACATGAGCATTTATCCTTAAAATCAACAATTTAACAACAATCATTTCAAAATGAATAGACCCCCATAATTATCCCATCATAATTATTGATAAATTAATCAAATTCACTGTAATTATGGCAAACTTTTTCCAATAACAACCAACTAAAGCATTCAACAAAGCATAATTAATCAATACTCCGTACAAAATTAACACAAATCTAAATATAAGCACAAAAATAAAATCATTTCCTTCATTTAGAAGAAAACCCACGAAAAATAATCAAATATAATAAAATGAAGGAGAGAAACTAACCAGAAAATTGAATAAAAAACCCAGATGCAATGTAAACCGTCAAAACAGAGAGAAGAAGAAGAAGGCCAGAAATAAAATTCGTAGTAGAAAATTAGGAGTAGTGTGTATGTAATGGTGGTACCGTGGTAGTGGCAGGTACAAGATCTAAGATCAACTAGAGATTTGTTTAGTTGAAATTTTTGGTACGACTATTATTTTAAATATTACTCGTATTTTTTTATTGATTAAAGGCTTAAAGGGATTTCTATTGCTGGGTTTTTGCACAAATGATCGAGGGAGAGAAAAGGTTGGAGGAATTGAAAATCCTACGGAGTAGTTCTAAAATTCCAGACAAAGGTAGTGAGTTTCCGAGCCGGTATTTTATTTTCGGGTTTCGATATTTAATTTGCAAGTTTCTCGCCCTTCTGGTTCTTTTTTACTTGAATCGGTTCTATTTATTACAATTATAAATATAAAACTTTAAACATTAATAATTTTAATTTTCTAAATGTAAAAATTATATAATACCTCATTTTCATATTATTTGCAATGATTAGACATTTATTATACTTTACTTTATGTCAAATCGTTGCAAATAATATGAAACATAGGTAGTATTATGATACTCCGTAATACTTACGACCTGTTCACATTTACTTAATTTCAGTTCATTTCAGCTCCAATTAGTTCAGTTTGGTACAACTCCAATTTCCCTCTCTCATAAAATATTCATTTAGCTTAGTTCAGTTGAGTTCAGCTCCAATCAGTTCATCATTTCAGTTCAGTAAATATGAACAGACCCTTATTTTAAAGATGAATTCAAAAAGATCACACATTGATATATTTTTCCTTGCATATTGCTCATAAAAAACGGTTAAATGAGGGGTATTGAACAGTGTAAAAGTCAAAGCATGTCTAGTAAAAAAGAACAGAGGAAGTAGTTCACACTTCATAGTTCATATAGACGATAAAATGAATTTATGCTGTTGTATATGTATGTATACAATCAATTGAATGTTTATACAAACTATACCATGTGTTTTCCTATTAATGGTAAAATATACTCCGTACCTCATATAGTCAATGGAACGAATTTATGCTGTTGTATATGTATGTAGACATTCAATTGAATGTTTATCAAAGAGATAAACAATTTTCAATTCAAATTTCAATTAAGTTAATAGTCAATTGTGCATTTAAAAAATTTATACACCTTTCTCCTCGGAAAAAAATGTTTTATACACCGTACGTGATAATTTAAGGTATTACAAACGCAAGGTATAAAATTCAGCATATTTTTTGTTCGGATGTGGAGAATTATTTCAATTTTTCAAGCATAACAGATATACTTATGATTCGTACATTACATTGTACAAAGTACATATATATACTTTTAGATTTGTTTCTTTTATAGGATGTTTACTGAACGTTAGTTAGGATCGATGGAATCTCATAAAACTTGTATGAATTCTCTAATATCACATGGTTGAGCTTAGTGAAGATTTAACGTGGCTAATTAGATCATGGCTCATCGTTCGTCAATCCGAAAACGGTAAGATTCATGTTATTAATATGAATTCGTTCAGTTTGATCCTAAAGTACAACTATACAAATACTCCGTATTATGTCATTTATGTATGTAACTAATTTAGTAATTATGGACTATGAATACAGTAGTCTGTAATCTGTATGTACTGAAATAGTGAAATGGGTGCTTTTGCGTGCACCGTTAAGAAACCACTAATTATGTTAGTAATCAAATGCAATAATAATGCGAAAAACAAAGGAATTGAAGGTCCCACTCCACGTTCAAACACGATGGATTGAGTACTGATTTATGGGTTCACCGAATTAGGCATACCGTTGTTGATAATTGGATTAAGTCATATACGTTCCATATTTCACATTTATGCTTGAAAAATCATCCAAAATAAATGACCATGAATATCGAATTCTAACTAATATGAGTACAAAATATGGAGTACTTCGTATTTTAGAAATACAATTTTGCGGGATTATTATTTTTGAATATCAATTCTTTTATAACTTTTTGTGAGTTGTGAGCAATAGCTCAGTTAGTTAGAGCTTCTCTCTATTCAAATATTGTGATTGATAATCATTATCCGCTCTTGTGACTTTCTAAACACAGGAAAAAAATTAGCTAGATGATATCTATATGTAATATTTTATACTTTTTTTTTCCTCATTCCTATACTAGGGCCCTGTTCTTTAGAGCTGCTTTGCTCTGCTCTGCTCTGCCTTGCTCTGCTCTGCTCTGCTGAAATCTGCTCTGCTCTGCTGAAATCTGCTCTGCTCTGGGTTAATATCAATTAATAATATCAACAAACCAATAATTAATAATACTTAATAATTAAAGTACATAATAATTAAAGTACATTTTTTTAAAATTATAACAATTAAAAATTCACAATACAGATTTTTTATTATTTATTAATAATAATGTCTAACAATTTCTAAATACATATTGATCTTTATAATAACACATAATACATGTTTTTTTGGGAACAATAATACTACATTATTATAATAATGGTGAAAAATAATGATATAAAAAGGAAGATATTTTACTAATTTGTTACCTTTTTTTATTTAAAGAAAATAAAAAAGTAAATTATAACAATTAAAAATTCACAGTTTGGGTGATCCAAAATTTAATTTCCCTCATCCACCTCCGGGTAAACTCTGATTCTTCAATTACGTATTAAATATATATTTTCATTTATTATGTGTAAAGTACTCTTAAATATATATATTTCAGGAAAATTTTATTTGGTAGACTCGGCATATCCAAATACTCTTGGATATATGACGCCATACTTCGGGGGAGTAAGAATACATATGCCTGATTTTAGAATACTGCCACCTAGAGGATTAAAAGAACATTTTAATAAGCTTCATTCATCGCTAAGAATGAAGGTGGAATGTTCATTTGGACGGTTAAAAAAAATGTGGAGGATACTACATAACATGCCACAAGTGTCACAAAAGAGTCAAATGTCAATCATTATAGCCACTTGCACACTACATAATTTTATTCGGATGCATAAGCTTGGCATATCAATCATTCAACATGACGCAAGTATAGGAGTAGCAGATTCAACTATGTATGCACAATGGCGCAAAGTTAGTATGGCCAAAGTGCGACATCGTATAGCACGCCGAATTTGGAGGGCTAATCGCTCGGAAAGCGACAATGAAGGTGATGACAATGAATATCAAGATGGCAGTGAAGATGATGAAAATGAAGATCAAGATGACAATGAAGATGATGAAAATGAAGATCATATGGAAGTAGATGGTTAATTCACCACGATGTTTTAATAATTTGAATATGTAATAATTTGAATATTTTAAACCATTATCGTCTTTTATCTATTTAGTATAAACATATGTTAACGTGATACACATCTATTTATGTTTTCATTCACCCATCAATTATAATAGTGGTAGTAGTAAAAATAATAGTAGTAGTAGTAGTAGTAGTAGTAGTAGTAGTAGTAGTAGTAATAATAATAATAATAATAATAATAATAATAATAATAATAATAATAATAATTAAAAAATAATTCTAATACTACTAATAATAATGGTAGTACAATGCGATAATGATAGTAATAGTAGTTAAATTAAATAGTAACAACATTAATAATAATAATAATAGTAATAATAATAAAATTAAAAAATAATAATAAAATAAAATTAAAAAAATTAATAATAATAATAATAACAATAATAATAATAATAATAATAATAATAAAATTAATAATAATAGTTGTATTAATATTAATAAAAATAATGCTAAAATCTGCTCTGCTCTGCTGAAATCTGCTCTGCTGAAATCTGCTCTGCTCTGCTCTGCTTTGCTCTGCTGAAATCTGCTCTGCTCTGCTTGCCCCTGCTCTGCCCTGCTCTGCTCTACTCTGCTCTGCCCAGAAGCTCAAAAGAACAGGGCCTAGATAATTTATGGAAAACTATACATTAAGACTAATCCAAAGAGGCAACAAATTAACAATATTCATATATTGCATAATAACAATTTATTTTCCATTACTTAGAGATAATTATTGATCGATTAGTGGAGCCTTATTTGATTCATCTTTTCAAGTACTTGTAAGATATCAAATAAACTTGTATAGAGTTTAATTTTATACTAACATGTTATTATAATATTAGAGATATTAACGATTTTAAATATGCATTAATAAAAGTGTCAAAAGAGAAATAAGAATAACTTATAGGATCGAAGGGAGTATTATCTTTCTTTACAAGGGATATACGAAGAGAATAATTTATTTGGGCCGCTTTCAACCTCTGTTTTAAAGTCGCAATTTGTGCTTATAGTTATCATGATCAAGCCTTCAATTATTTAATTAATTCAAGCCAAATTTGACTAGTATAGCTAGCAAACTAGAAGAGAAGACCAGAAATCAATAAAATAGAAGTAAACTTCCATTATCTATTATCTATCTAAATGAATTTTTTTTTTTTTTTTTTTTTTTTTTTTTTTTGGTGAAAACTAAATGAGAGTATCTAAGTAGCAAAGTAAACATTCTAGAAAGTATCATTATTGTAAAGACATTATTGAAAAAATTATTAATTTGAAATCATTTTCTAGCCTCTTGATTTTACTTAAATAAGTACTGAATATATATATTTTTTATTTAACTCTCAAATTCTAGACAAACTATTTGAACTAATATTAAAGTAAAAATACATAGTACACCAGGCCATATGATTATATGAATAACGAGAATATAATACGGAGTATTTCATTTCACCCTACCAAGTGATCAATATATTAGGCAATAAAATTCAAAAATTGGCTAATTATTCTAAGATGTAACAAAATAAAATAACTATATACTTGTATGAAATAAATATGGAACGAGATAAGACAACCAAAACATAAATATTAGAGAGCTACTACCTAACTCTTAACTCTACTAAAATACAAGAGACTCCGCTTATTTTATGTTCGTTTTTTCAGGAAGAGGTGAAGAAATTCAAAGCTTGGATCATCAGCAAGAGAAGACCAATAAAATAAATAACAAAATGTTGCTTTCTCACCTCTAACTACCCTCAACTCTAACTCAATAAATACCAAAGAAAATCCACATTCTTTTATCATCCAAAACCTTAAGCTCTAATATCATTTTCTCTTAAGTCATCCTTTAATTACTTATAATCTTGATATAATAATATCATCATCACAAAAGCTAGTAATGGGTGTCTCTACCTACACCGTTGTCGACGAAGCCAGCTCGGTCGCCCCAGCTCGGTTGTTCAAGGCTTTGTGCCTTGACAACCACAATGTTTTCCCCACGGTTACACCCCAAGTCATCAAAAGTATTGATTTTGTAGAGGGTGACTCTACTGTTGTTGGATGTGTCAAGCAATTTAACTTTGCCGAAGGTTTGTTAGTGTTTAAGTTTCTTATCATTTCAAATTTTCAATCTACTCTAATAATCATCATTTTTGGTTATTTTAAGACGGAATTTTAGTACGAATAATCTATTATATATGTTGGTATAATCATAAGGGTTTTCAAGGCTACATAATGAAAATAATATAGGAAGTAATATAATGAAAAATGAATAACGCATAATATTGGTATACGGTCCAATGAATGAAATTAAAGTATATTGAGATGCAGATAAAGTATTGCATGCAATCGATAATTTACGTACGTAAGCTTTGCCTCAATCACTAATTAACTAGCCAAACTAGGCCAATTTAGAGATACTAGGTAATGAAGTAGTCAGATTTTTGCAAGTCAAATTTTTTTTGGAAAAAATTGGCTTTTGACTTTTTATCATCCAAAGAACCACTCTAATCCTGCTTTTAATTTATTGTGTTCTAATTTGTTCCTGATGATTGATATATACTTCGTAATAATTAATTATTTTTAGACTTGAAATTTTGATTTATTTATTTGTTATTTGATCAATAATTATATTATAATTAAGAATGTATAATTATTATAATATGTAATTGATTTACCAATAAACATATTATTATAAACAACTAATGATACTACTAAATCAAATAAGTGACAACCAACCATCAGACGACATGGTCAAAGTAATCAATTTAATCAATGTTCACTATACTGTAACATTAATAATTATGTATACACTATACTGTAGTAAACTTCAGTGCATACATATGATACTATATATATCCTAAGCTAATAATTATACATGTGATTGATAAATTGTGCAGGGGTTCCCTACAAATACTTGAAAAGCAAGGTGGACGAGCTTGATGTGGAAAATTACTACGTCAAGTACACGACTTTCGAGGGCGATGTTCTTGGGGATGTATTAGATTGTGTTGTTTACGAAGCCAAAATCGAACCAAATGGTTCAGGAAGTCACTACAAATTGACTGCTCATTTTCACGCAAAAGGAGATGCTGTTCTTAGCAAGGATGATGCTGAAACTGGTCTTCAAAGCATGCAAATGTCCTACAAAGCCATCGAAGAGTATCTTTGCAACAACCCTCAAGCTTGTACTTAAACATACATATTACTCGACCAATTTCTAACTATTTCCTCTTTGAATAATGTGTGAGACGAATGATATTTGTATTTGCATTGTAATTTTATCTTTTGTTGTGCTTAATATAATAAAGGTGTGTACCAATGGTTTGTTGACTTTGAAATGATGTAATAAAAACACAATTGTTTGAGTTAAAGATTGTTGATTGCTCCAATCCGTTTGATATCTTATCTATTTAACCTAAGAAGTATTATAAAATTAAGGTTAAAGCTAGTATATGAATAAAATTAAGGTTAAAGCTAGTATATGAATAAAATAAAGATCGAACAGCTGCATAATATTATTAGCTAAGATGACTACTAATATAATCTATATGTATCAAAACAATCTTTGACTATTAGTCTAATAAGTGATGGAGTATAGTATTGTTATAATCAAATTTGGCTTGAATTTTATGCGAAGTATAGTATTCAAATTACTATTCCGAGTTGATTGAAACAATTGACCTCAAAGTCAACGAAAGACCGTTTGAAGTATATTTATTACATTTATGATGATATGTAGACAAAATTGCAAATGTCATTTTACACCCATTCATATATGTGGGTGTTGATCGTGTGATCACTTCATATGTACTCCAAGGAACTAATTGTCTAATGAATGTTATGACGAATTGACGATCATCTAATGAGATAATCTTGACCAATAAGGGTTTATTGCAGTTGGAAAAAATAAGGTTACTTTAGCAAGTGTACTTATTCTTTTAATAGTCAAAAATCAAAGAAAGAAAACAAGCTAAGACAACTATGTTTAGTTCACCTTATTTTTAACATAGTTACTTTGTATTTTATATCAAATTAGAAAAAATAAGTTCAAATTATATCAAATTAGAAAAAGAAAATGTTTGTCCCATGTTGAATCTTGAAAGATTTATGTGAAAATTGAAACGTAACAATATAATACGAGTAATTTTTATACTTAAATATAATTATGTGAAATATTTCATGTATGCAGTCTTAAGTCTTAACCACTAGGACAAGTTTAGATAGTGAACCGGATCCTAATCAACCAATTTATAATCGGTTAAATTTGGGTGATATTCAGGACTTGGGGTCAATTCCCTTCTTTGAAAGCCCATTATATACACCCGGATGGGTGGGTGTATCATACACCCGGAGTCATTTGCTCATTCAATCAACAAATTTAACAAATTCTACCCTTCTTTCAACATGACTACATAGGGATAAATTTAGATCGGATTAGATGAGCAAGAGTAGCGTAAATCGGAATGGTAAAACTTTAGGCTCCGTTTGGTAGGGTGTAAAAATTTTTACTAAAAAGTGTGTTCCCATTTTACATTGATTGGTTTAGTGTAAAACATTAAAATGTAAAATTTGGGGGTGGAAAATCATTTTCCACCCTATTGAAAACATTTTCCCCCCAATTTAAAAGAAAAACGTTTTCCATCACAAATGGAGAGAAAACATTTTCCCTCACAAAGTCACAGTTAAAGTAATTGATTTTCACTTCAACTAAACTATGAAAAGTGCTTAAAAATAAAAAAACCATTTTACTTGCAAACTAAACAACTAAAAACTTTCATAAAAATGGATTTTTCAAATAAAAGGTTTTCTATGATAAATTATTTATTTTTCATGTTAAAATATTTTACGCCCTAACAAACGAGGCCTAAAAGTAAATATCGGAACAAAGATGGTAAATAAATAAAGAACAAAACCTTTTGTGTGCCCCGGGTGTACAGTAATTTATTGTATATCAGCAATTCTCACACGTGTGTCACTAATAAATTCATTATCCCCAATACTCTGTATTATTCTCTCTCCTCTCTCTCTTCCAACAAACTACCAAATTTACGACCACATTCAACCTCAAATTACAATAAGGTTGTTGTTAGGATGATCTCTCATAGAGTTTCGCTTCCTTTGATCTATATTTCTCAGTCTGCAATTGATTTTTCGTTTTATCAAATTTCGAACCCTAACATTCTTAAATTTTTTTTTTTTTGGTGCTACATTCTTAAATTGTGATATTTCGCTCTCAAATTTTTCTGATTTAGGTTTCTAATTGATATTCCGATCAAATTTCCGAGCCTTCATAACTTTGGATTTAGAGAACGAGTGAAGTATCAGTCGAAAAATCAGGTATTTTTTTCCATTTTTAAATCAAATTTTCATTTTTATGTATAAAAATTACCCTTTTTACCCACAAAAGTTACCTTTTTTATCTATAAAAGTTACCCTTTTTACCCACAAAAGTTACCCTTTTATCTATAAAAGTTACCCTTTTTACCCACAAAAGTTACCCTTTTCGTGCATAAAAGTTACCTTTTTACCCACAAAAGTTACCCTTTTTATCTATAAAAGTTACCCTTTTTACCCACAAAAGTTACCCTTTTTATGTATAAAAGTTACCCTTTTTATCTATAAAAGTTACCCTTTTTACCCACAAAAGTTACCCTTTTCGTGCATAAAAGTTACCTTTTCTACCCACAAAAGGTACCCTTTTTATACATAAAAGTTACCCTTTTACCCATGGAAGGTACCCTTTTCATGCATAAAAGTTACCCTTTTTTTCTTCTTCTGCTTCCTTTGCAACGTTTCTTCTTTCCTCATCATCTTTCTTTTTCTTTGCAATTGCAGCCTTTTTTCAATTGCATTAACATAATCAACATTTTGAAAAAATCATGAAAAAATTAATAAAACACACCTTCATCTTCTGACGACTTCTTTGTACTCTTCTTCTTCACCATTGTAGAATCAAATAAAAAACAAAGAACAAAAACAAAATAAAAAAACCTAAAAATCGAAGAATCAAAACAACTAAAACAAACAAAAATCTCATAAAATTAAGTAAACAAACTTATATTTGCAAATAACAACTTCATAAGTGAAAGAGAAGAGAGATAATCGTTGTTGAAGAAACATAAATCAGGTTGAATAGAGATAGAATTGCCAATTGAGGAAGAAAGAAGAGAGAGAAAGAACTTTCTGAATGAATGAGAAAGAGAGAGAAAATATTGGTTTTTATTTGTAGGCAATGAAGCTTGGCATGTGTGAATCAAGATCGAAACAAAATTGTTTATGTTTAGAGAGCCGATTTACACTAATTTGGTGTAAATCGGATGTCATTAAACATTTGTGAATAAAGAATACAAGATCTATTGGTCTTTCAAAAGATAAAGTGAGCCTATTTAAAATAAAAATAAAAATAAAATAAAATAAAATAAAAAGTGAGCAAATTCTTTGTTTCCCTTTCAATCCTTCCTCCTCCAAATACTTCAACATCAGTAACCCAGAAACACGCCGCTGAAAAACTACTCTCTCCATTTTAGCAGATTACCTCAATTTTGAAGAAACAAAAATGGCGGCTCATACTCTCACCTCATCTTCTCTCTCCTCCATTGCTTCTTCGTCGGAGCTTCGGAAAATCAATGGCTGTAATTTCTTTCTTCAATCTGCTAATTCAAGCAGTTTAGGCACCTCTTTCATCGGAAATCAGCTCGCAATTCGGAAACCTAACCCTAATCGTTTCGTCTTGAAGCGACAATCCACTAATATGACAGTTTCTTTCAGCTTACCAACTAGGCAAGTTTCTGGAATTCAATTTTTCTTTTTCCTTTTATTTTTATTTGTTAATTATGTATTTTTTTCTTCTGACTTTTGAAGCTTGATTATCGTAATTGCAGTAGGCCGGAGGGAGTTCCTGCTGAGAAATCGCCAAAGTAAGTTTTCTTAAATTTTCGTGTTTAATTTTGTGTTGATTTGTCGTTTCAAATGATTAAATCATAAAGATTGAGTGAAATTGGATTCAATCTTTAGAATGAACCTTATTTTTGCATGTTTTTCTCAGGAATTGTTTTGATTTCCTATTTGTTTGAGGAGTGAAATGTGGATTTCTTGTGATATTTTGGATAATGTGGCTTATTTTAGGATTTAAATGCTTGTTTGAAGTGATTCTTTGAATGTGGATAGGAATTGCCAATTGCCAGTATGATGTTGTGCTTCTTACAAATTCATTTCCTTAAATCGTGCTTATGTATAGTATGAACATCATCGAATTTTGCTATATCTGTTTGAGTTCAAAGATTGAAGGCTTCTTTCATTTTAGGTTTTGTAAGAAATTTGGAAGTTGCCGTGATAATCTATATTTATTTCAGTATTATATGGGTTTGTGTTTGTTGATATGCCCCTTTTACTTTGTATATAAGGAGCATCCTGATTTAGTTTTTATGTCTTCATGTTGCATTTGGAAAGGGTTGTTTTCGTGCCTGTTATGTAAGCTCATCTGTTGTCTATAGACTTTGAAATGCTTGCTTAATTATTGTTTTGTTTCCAAGCTTGAAGCAGATGGTCTGCAAGGGCTATAAAGTCATACGCTATGGCTGAACTTGAAGCAAGAAAACTAAAATATCCAAACACAGGGACTGAAGCGCTTCTGATGGGGATCTTGGTTGAGGGTTCGTATGGTTGAGAAATTTTGCTCTTTTATGTTTTCTAGTTCAATATATACAACTATACTTCCTTCACATGATATTTGATAGAACTTTAAAATTGACATTAGTTGAATTGCTGGGTTGTATATGAAGTGATCAGTCTTTCTTAATAATGTTTACTACTACCTCCGTTTCGTATTATATGCAACTTTGGCGTATTATTTGTGAGATATAAAAAATTCCAAAGTTGCATATAATACGAACCGGAGGTAGTATAAGAATTTGGTTATCCTTAGGTATTCAATCACATCGCTTTGTGCGATAATCTTGGTAGCCTTTGGCAAGAAGTTTAAAGATGCCAGGGGGGGTGACTAGGCAGATCAACTTGCCCAAAATACCTTTTAGTGTTCTTTGACTCCAGTGCAGCCTTGAGCTAAATCAATCATTTTGGTTTATTGAGATGACTTAGAAATTTAAGTGTATAATTTGGTAGTGCTAAATGTACTGGTTTTTATTTATTTATTTATTTTTAATTTTTTTAATTGAATTAGAAAATTGTCATTCTTGGAGAAGAATTGTTCAACCAAGTCATTCACATTGGACCTTATTGGATTGAAGCTATGTTCTTAGAAAAGAAGGGTTAGAAAGTAATGTCTGACTTTTGTCATTGTGGAGAGGCTTACTGGGAAATTTTTACTTTTTGTAATGATGCCTGGTTTATAAGGTAAATATATTTAGAAATTATATTTTAGTTAGGATTT